ACAGCTTCATGGAAACTGAACAACTGGCTCTTGAATGTTGACTGGGTAAACAATGAAATGAAGGCAGAAGTAAAGAAGTTCTTCAAAACCAATGAGAATGAAGACACAACATGCCAGAATCTCTGGGACACATTTAAAGCAGTCTCTAGAGGAAAGTATATAGCAATAAGTGCCCATATGAGGAGAATGGAGAGATCCAAAATTGACACCCTATTGGCAAAATTGAAAGAGCTAGAGGAGCAAGATCAAAAAAACTCAAAACACAGCAGAAGACAAGAAATAACTAAGATCAGAACTGAGCTGAAGGAGATTGAGACACGAAAAACCCTTCAAAAAATCAATAAATCCAAGAGCTGGTTTTTTGAAAAGATCAACAAAATAGACAGACCACTAGCCAGATTGATTAAAAAGAAAAGAGAGAACAACCAAATAGATGCAATAAAAAATGATAAAGGGGAAATCACCACAGATTCCACAAAAATTCAAACCATCATCAGAGAATATTACAAACAACTCTATACACATAAACTAGTAAACCTGGAAGAAATGGATAAATTCCTGGACTCCTGTGTCCTCCCAAGCCTAAACCAGGAGGAAGCTGAAACAATGAATAGACCAATAACAAGGTCAGAAGCCGAGGCAGCAATTAAGAGCCTACCACACAAAAAAAGCCCAGGTCCAGATGGGTTCACAGCCGAATTCTACCAGACACACAAAGAGGAGCTGGTACCATTCCTTCTGAAACTATTCCAGATAATCCAAAAAGAGGGAATCCTTCCCAAATCATTTTACGAGACCAACATCATCCTGATACCAAAACCCGGCAGAGACCCAACAAGAAAAGAAAACTTCAGGCCAATATCCATGATGAACATAGATGCAAAAATCTTCAATAAAATATTGGCAAGCTGACTGCAACAGCAAATCAAAAAACTTATCCATCATGATCAAGTACGATTCATCCCGGGGATGCAAGGCTGGTTCAACATACGCAAGTCTATCAGTGTAATTCACCACATAAACAGGACCAAAAACAAAAACCACATGATTATCTCAATTGACACAAAGAAGGCATTTGACAAAATTCAACAGCCCTTTATGCTAAAAACCCTCAATAAACTCGGTATCGATGGAACTTATCTCAAAGTAATAAAAGCTATTTATGACAAATCAACAGCCAATAGCATACTGAATGGGCAAAAACTGGAAGCATTCCCTTTGAAATCCGGCACTAGACAAGGATGCCCTCTTTCACCACTCCTATTCAATATAGTTCTGGAAGTTCTAGCCAGAGCAATCAGGCAAGAAAAAGAAATAAAGGGAATTCAAATAGGAAAGGTGGAAGCCAAATTGTCTCTATTTGCAGACGACATGATAGTATACCTAGAAGACCCCATCACCTCAGCCCAAAAACTCCTGAAACTGATAAGCAACTTCAGCAAAGTCTCAGGATATAAAATCAATGTGCAAAATTCACAAGCATTCATCTACACCAATAACAGAACGAACTGCCATTCACAATTGCTACAAAAAGAATAAAATACCTTGGAATACAACTCACAAGGAATGTAAGACACCTCTTCAAGGAGAACTACAAACCACTGCTCAACGAAATCAGAGAGGACACAAACAGATGGAGAAACATTCCATGTTCATGGTTAGGAAGAATTAACATCGTGAAAATGGCTATACTGCCCAAAGTAATTTACAGAATCAATGCTATCCCCATCAAGCTACCATTGACTTTCTTCACAGAACTGGAAAAAACCACCATGAACTTCATATGGAACCAAAAGAGAGCCCACATAGCCAAGTCAATTCTAAGCAAAAAGAACACAGCTGGGGGCATCACACTACTGGATTTCAAACTATACTACAAGGCTACAGTAATCAAAACAGCATGGTACTGGTACCAAAACAGAGATATAGACCAATGGAACAAAACAGAGGCACCGGAGGCAACACAAAATATCTACAACTATACAATCTTTGATAAACCTGACAAAAACAAGTAATGGGGAAAGGATTCCCTGTTTAACAAATGGTGTTGGGAAAACTGGTTAGCCATGTGCAGAAAGCAGAAACTGGACCCCTTCCTGACACCTTACACTAAAATTAACTCCAGATGGATTAAAGACTTAAACACAAGACATGGGACGATAAAAACCCTAGAAGGAAATCTAGGCAAAACTATCCAGGACATAGGAGTAGGCAAGGACTTCATAAACAAAACACCAAAAGCATTGGCAACAAAGCCAAAATAGACAAATGGGACCTAATGAAACTCCACAGCTTCTGCACGGCAAAAGAAACAGTCACTAGAGTGGCAACCAACAGAATGGGAAAAAATTTTTGCAGTTTACCCATCTGACAAAGGGCTGATATCCAGAATGTACAAAGAACTCAAACAGATTTACAGGAAAAAAACAAACAAGCCCATTCAAAATTGGGCAAAGGATATGAACAGACACTTTACGAAAGAAGACATATATGAGGCCAACAATCATATGAAAAAATGCTCATCATCACTGGTCATTAGAGAGATGCAAATCAAAACCACATTGAGATACCATCTCATGCCAGTTAGAATGGCAATCATTAAAAAATCTGGAGACAACAGATGCTGGAGAGGATGTGGAGAAAAAGGAACACTTTTACACTGTTGGTGGAAGTGTAAATTAGTTCAACCATTGTGGAAGACAGTGTGGCGATTCCTCAAGGCCTTAGAAATAGAAATTCCATTTGACCCAGCAATCCCATTACTGGGTATATATCCAAAGGATTATAAATCGTTCTACTATAAGGACACATGCACATGAATGTTCATTGCAGCACTGTTTACAATAGCAAAGACCTGGAATCAACCCAAATGCCCATTGATGATAGACTGGATTGGGAAAATGTGACACATATACACCATGGAATATTATGCAGCAATCAGAAATGATGAGTTCATGTCATTTGTAGGGACATGGATGAATCTGGAGAACATCATTCTCAGCAAACTGACACAAGAACAGAAAATGAAATACCACATATTCTCACTCATAGGCGGGTGATGAAAATTGAGAAAACATGGACACAGGGAGGGGAGTACTGAACACTGGGGTCTATTGGGGGGAAAAGGGGAGGGACAGTGGGAGGGGGAACTGGGGAGGGATAGCCTGGGGAGAAATGCCAAATGTGGGTGAAGCAAAACACACTGCCATGTGTGTACCTATGCAACTGTCTTGCATGTTCTGCACATGTACCCCAAAACCTAAAATGCAATAAAAAATTTAAATAAATAATAAAATAAAATAAAATGGAGTCTTGGAAATAAGATTTTTATCAAAGCTGCTGTATTTAAATGAGTGTTTTGCTTTCAAATAGGTGTCTTTGGAGATGGTACCTTTGCTTACACAAATTTTAAAATTCTTATTTCAGAGCACCTTTATAAGGTGAAAAGCAATCTCTCACATATTTATAATCAAATATTATTTTTAAACCCAAAGATTTTGATCACATTACTCATTTATTCATCAGGCTCCATTCTAATTGACTTTCTGAGGCATTCTCCTGAATCAGATATTCTCCATTTCCTCCTGAGTCCTCCCAGGAGTTCCTACAATATCCTGAGCAATGGTGGCATCATTGTTATTATTAATATTTTGGGACAGGGTCTCACTTTCTCTCCTAGGCTGGAGTACAGTGCCATGATATCAGCTCACTACAACTTCTCAATCTCCTCGGCTCAAGTGATCCTCCTGCCTCAGCCCCCACCAAGTAGCTGAACCTACAGGCATGTGCCACCATGCCTGGCTAATTTTTCATATTTTTCATAGAGAAGGGGTTTTGTCATGTTGCTTAGGCTGGTCTCAAACTCCTAAGCTCAAGTGATCCTCCTGCTTCGGCCTCCTGAAGTACTGGAATTACTGGTGCACGGCCAGTGGTAGCATTATTATGGGAAGCATATGGCTTCTCAAGGAAACTCAAAAGATTAAGTCAGCATCCGTCTCTAAACTCTGGCCTGTTAAGTTTTAAAAAAAACAGGTATGCACTGGGGTCTGTTGGTGGGGGAATAGAGGAGGGACAGTGGTGGCTAGGGAGTTGGGGAGGGATAACATGGGGAGAAATGCCAGATATAGGTGATAGGGGGATGGAGGCAGCAAACCACATTGCCATTATGTACCTATGCAACAATCCTGCATGTTCTGTACATGTACCCCAGAACCTAAAGTGCAATAAAAAAACAAAACAAAACAAACAGGTATGTTCTAGTCATTCCTTAGGTTGTTTACTGAACTGCACAGAGGGAAGCAGAGCTGAGGCCCTTGGAGACTGTGGGGCCTTCCACTGGTAACTGGGAGTACAAGGCCTGATGAAACCAGATTCCACAGTGACCCAAAGAAAATTAAAGCCTGGGAGCTTTTCATAACCGTCCAGCTTACTGATTTCCAATTATAGTCAGATAATTAGATCAAATTACTTTTGGGAAAATGCAACATTTATTTGAACATACGTGGTTAATAATAGATGTTTTAAACCTTGGTCTGGTTTGGCCTTGACATGTGGTGAACAGATGGATAATTTGAGGGGATGTTTCTTAGTGTCAAGTGACACTCCTTTGGTTTGGGGTAACTACAGTGATGTGCTGGTCAATGTTTTATAAACCACTTTCAGAGTGTGTGGGAGGTCCCTGATCTGCTACCAATGGTTTAACAACGGGCCCAGCCAAACTTTTGATGATTTATTAATTAGTGGTCGTGATCCTGTACCGGAGGGTCTACCTCACCCTTGTCAGGTAGTAAGCTGACCACTGAGCAAGTGAGAGCAAGATCCCGTGTGAATGGAAAATAAGCCCTGGACACAGCAGGAAATGCAGGAAACAGGCCAGAGGGGAGGAATGCTGGCTATTTTGCAGTTTTACCTAGGGTCACTTTGGATCAGATAATGAGAAGGAAGGCAGGGGCTGATGAGGCATATATAATGCCAGTTTCCCCTCTGAGCCCGGAGCTCACCTCACTCCAGTTGCCCACTGTCCAGTCCGAGGGGCACAGGATGTCTCTGTTACAGGAAAGGAGGGTCTTGGGCTTCAGCAGGTGCTGGCAGTCTGTGGGCGGGAGAGCCTGCTCGTCAGAGCCCATGGTCTGGATGCACAGCACAGTTCGCTTCTTCTCCCCGTGGGGCCCGCATGTCGCCGAGCATGCTTCCCATTCCCCTGCCCACCACCTGCAGGCAGACATGGACAAGTGAGAGAAGATCACCAACTTACACATACATTCCATTAACCACTGAGAAAGCAGGGGTGGAAATGCAGACCACAGGGCTGAGAGGGTCATGGAGACCCTCCAATCCACTAGGGGGCGTGCTGCAGACAGGGCCATGGTGTCTTCTATCACAGCTCCAGAGACTCAGCGGAACACATGGCATAAGCAGTTGCTAAATAAGAATGTTTTTGAATGAGAAAATTATATATATGCATGCCCTGTCTGTTCAGTAAGAAAACTGAGGTCCAGGGTTCTGCTGTGCAACTTTAGGCAGGTTTAAGCTTCACTTTGTCATCTATTCAATGTGTGTAAAAATATTTTTTCTTTGTATAAGTGTTGTGCATTAAATGAAAGACCAATTCATGTAAAGTGCATAGTACAGAGCCTGACACATAACAAGAACTCAAGCATTTGTTACAATTTATTGTTATTTTGACCATGCTATTGAGTAAAAGAGTCCAATTAGACTCTAGGTCTCCTGGTTCTTAACTGAATGTAAAGTAGGTACTTAAAAACAAATTTTTAAATTATGTAGGAGGTGATCAATTGGGGACATTGCCTTTATTTATTTATTTATTATCTGCTGCAGTCTAATTGTTAATATTTTCACTGGTCCCTTTGATAAGAAATGAATAGAAAAAGAATAAGCTTAAATCATTTTTTACTCAAGGATCTGGGATGTGGGCCCACTTGTTACATAAAAGTCGTTTTTGAAAATGGCAGAAAGCCATCTCTTGTCTCTCTTCTCCATTATTGTGCAAATCTTCCCCAATACAGAAGACAGAACAAGTGTCTTCACCCAGTGTGTTTTGGGTCCATTATTGTTCTACATACAGCCCGCTTGTTCATCCCTTCATATAGTAATAAGTGGAACACTTTGATTTTTCATGGGAAAGTAGTATTATGGGTGAAGCCCTTCGTTCCTGACTTCAGGAAAGCCTCCTGACTTGAGACAGCATTCCGTTTTGGTAATTTTGAAGAAGATAAAACTTTTTACTTTTATTTTTATTCACTAAATATTGAATTTATTTATGTAGAATTTCTTTTGATTGTCACACTTTTAATCTCAAGTTAAAAATATCAGAAGAAAGCAATTCCTCAATTCTACCATATTCTTCAGTTAATAAGTAATTGAGATCACTTACTTATTGTTCGGTGTTTAACATCAGTGGATAAAGAGCTAATAAGATTGGAACAGTATGATGCGAAACCAAATAAGTGCCCAACCGTATTAAGCTGATTACTTTGTTCTACCTCTGACTTTTCTAAAGGAGGCCAGGCCAAGGGAATATATAAAATGCTGCTCTGTAGCCCTTAGTCTGAGTTGACTGAAAGCCTAATTTACCCAAGTACTTGCTACAGGGCTTTCAGCTATATCACCACACAGTGATAATGGACCTTCTTGTTTTCATTTCTGGAGTTTTCTCTACAGTCCCCTGGGGGACATATTGCCTGTGCTTTAGCTATGGTCTAAATGTGTTCCCCAAAACATATGTGTTAGAAACTGAATCCCGGATATAATAGTGTTGGGAGGTGGGCTCTGATGGGAGGTGTTTAGGTCGTGAGGGCTTTGCCATCATGAATGGATTAAGGCCACTTGCAAAAGGATTTGGGGGTGGTTTACCCTTTCACTCTTCTATGAGGTCATAGATGTTTGTCCTCTGTTGCCCTTCTTCTTTCAGCCTTATGAGGGTGCAGCAAGAAGGCCCTTGCCAGATCAAATGCTGGTACCTTGATCTTCGCCTTCCAACCTCCAGAACTGTGAGAAATGTTTCTTTTTAAAAGAAATTTATTTTTTATTTTTATTTTTATAGAGAAAGCGTATTGCTATGTTGCCTAGGCTAGTCTTGAACTCTGGTGCTCAAGTGCTCCTTCTGCCTTGGCCTCCCAAAGTGCTGGGATTACAGAGTGAGTCACCATAGTTGACCAAGAAATAAAGTTGTTCTGTATAAATTATCCAGTCTGTGGTATTCTGTTGCAGCAACAGAAAATGGACTCAGCTTAGTCTTTAGTCTAACAAGATTAAAGTGAAAACCATATTCTTTTTTTTTTTTTTTTCCTGTAAAGGTCTTCCAGGCCCAGGGCTCAGGAGCCATGGTCAAGTTGCTCTCTGCTGTCCATCTCATTCTTTTAGGTGTTTGCCATAATCCCACCTCTTGTAGGAGTTTTCTAATAGAATACTGTTTTCATATTTATGGGAGATTTTATGTTTTATCTAAATGTCTGTTCTCAGTGTGCGTCTGTGTGTGTGTGTGTGTGTGTGTGTGTATGTTTCAGATCCTTGGAGAGCCTGTAGTTGTTCCAAAATTCTGGAAAAGTTTACTGTAGTTTGCATATGAGTCTTCTCTGAGATCAAGTAAAAGGGGTGGGTTAGAGACTCTCTGAACCTCTCTTTTATCTTTAAAAGAACCCCTCTTTTATCAATACCTTTTACTGATTCCCCTATCAGTACCTGCTCCAACAGCTCTGATCACCAATGAACCAGGACACCTCACTCTGTCTAACCTTCGTTACTCAGATAACTGAAAGTCCAAATCTGAGTTTGTTAAACTCTTGCTAAGAATGGTAATTTCCTTTAAGAAATCCATTTTTATAATAATCATCTTTCTTTGTACTAATCTTTTTCCTAATAGAATTTACATTCAAAAATTCAATTCAACTGACCATTTCAAATTCTGACAAAACCATGACTACAGTGCAAGCACCCTTACCTCCTGGCCTTGTGTACACATTGTCTCCACATTCCCATTATATCCCATTCCTCCAGCTTTCTTGTCCCCTACACGCACCACGCTCAGTCCCTTCCCCTCTTTCATGGGCTTTTCCCAGTCTCAATGATCTCATTCCTTTCATTTAGATCAGAAGATCTCAATCAGCAGAGATTTCCACAGCTTCTCTCCCAAGGGGATATTTGGGAATCTACAAAGACATTTTTCAATGTCACAAATCGGTGGTGACAAGGAAGTGGGGGTGGGTTGCTATTGGCATCTAGTGGATAGAGTCCAGGGATACTGCTAAACCTCTGACATTACACGAGACAGCTTCCCACAACAACAACAAACTATCCAGCCCAGAGCAGCAATAGCGTTGAGGTTGAGAAACCGTGATTTAAGTCATATGCCATTATTTTGTGGACCGATAACTACATGCAGCTGAGAGAGTTTCAAAAAATCACTGTCAGAGTAAACCTCTGAGTACTTTGGAAATGCTAGGCACCATCACAGCTGTGGCCTAGCCGAGCTTTGCTTTGCTGAAAACCAAAGTTCAGAGAGAAGTCAGTAGGGAGAAGAGACTCAAATAACCTCTTTCTGGAGTCAGATATACTAAAATTTCAAAGAATTTCTTTCTTGACAGCCCACTCTTTCCTGGAACATACTCTACAGGGCTTTCATCCTGAAAGGCGTTGGCTATCCAATACATAGTTTTTATATTTAGATAATCAAAAGTTTTATTAAACCTTAAATCTGTCTGAATACTCCCTTGGGGAAGAATGCAGAATGTCGAAATTGGTTGTAAAAACAAGATATTACTGAAGCAAAATGACCCAGAAATTCAAAGTTAATAAAATTAAACTTTGCACAGGACATTTTTTGGGAAAGGAAATGACAGCTCTCAATGATGGGTGTGAACTTTTCAGAGATCATGGAAATTAGGTGACAGAAGAAGATATTGCAACTTGAAATTCATATACAAGGAAACTACTGAACTAAGTTTGCAAAAACAAATAGTATTATTTTATTATTTATTAATTCTTAAAAAAGCAAATCGCCAGGCTTGTGGGCTCATGCCTGTAATCTCAGCACTTTGGAAGGCTGAGGCAGTGAATCACTTGAAGTCAGGAGTTTTGAGACCAGCCTGGCCAACTTGGTAAAACCCCATCTCTACTAAAAATACAAAAATTGGCCCAGTGTGATCGGGGGTGCCTGTAATCCCAGCTACTCAGGAGGCTGGAGCAGGGGAAAATTGCTTGAACCTGGGAGGTGGAAGTTGCAGCGAGCTGAGATCCTGTCACTGTACTTCAGCCTGGGTGACAAAGCAAGACTTTGTCTCAAAAAAAAAAAAGCAAATCAACTTAATGTCTTTTCCTTTAATCCTTTTAAAAATTTGCATACATGACTTAATTTTGGAGTCAGATTTTTCTGCACATTCATAACATTTGTATTGTGTTTTAACATGGGAGAAATAATTTAAATATAGGGAATTCTGGTTCTAGCACTGAACCCTGCATATCCTTAGATCTGGGCAGCAGCATGTGTAGCAGCACATGCAGAGGCAGCACACGGACAGATCTGGGTTCAAATCCCACCTCTACAATTTGTAGCTAAGTGACCTAGGAACATTTTTGTGAAAGATTTGGAGTCTTCATTTATATAATGAACATAAATGTATCTACCAATTAGGGTGCTTACAGGATTAAGTGATATGTTTATACGGAAAGAGCCTGGAAAATAGTGAGTTCTTAAAAAGTGCTAGTTTTTAAGATAGGAACAGAAAACCAAACACCACATTTTCTCACTCATAAATGGGAGTTGAACAATGAGAACACATGGACACAGGGAGGGGAACATCACACACTGGGGCCTGTTGGGGTGGGGGCAAGGGAGGGAGAGCATTAGGACAAATACCTAATGCATGTGGGGCTTAAAACCTAGATGACGGGTTGACAGGTGCAGCAAACCATCATGGCGCATGTATACCTATGTAACAAACCTGCATGTTCTGCACATGTATCCCAGAACTTAAAATAAAATTTAAAAAAAAAAGTGCTAGTTTTCTCTGCAGCCCTTTCCCCTAGAGTATGGCATCAAATTTCTCTGAGCCTTAATCTCCTCATATACCACCTCAGAGTAATATCCGTACCCTGTCTTATGACAATTTCATAAATATTTGTAGAAGCTGAAATGCAGTCATAAATAAGACAGACTTTGGTAAAGTGGCCATTGATACAGTTTGGCTGTGTCTCCACTCAAATCTCATCTTGAATTGTAGCTCCCATAATTCCCACGTATTGTGGGAGGGACCTGGTGGGAGATAGTTGAATCCCAGAGGCAGTTTCCCCCATACTGTTCTCGTGAATAAGTCTCATGAGATTTGATGGTTTTATAAGGCCACACCCCCTTCACTTAGCTCTCATTCTCTCTTGTCTGTAGCCATGTAAGACACGTCTTTCACCTTCTGCCATGATGGTGAGGCTTCTCCAGCCACATAGAACTATGAGTCCATTAAATCTCTTTTTCTTTGTAAATTATCCAATCTCAGGTATGTCTTTATCAGCAGCATGAAAATGAACTAATCCAACCATTATATCTGAGTGTTTCATGGAACTCTACTTAGTTTATCACATCCTGCTTGAGAGTGTATTTTCAGAAATTGTATCTGTATGTATTATATTATGCTTAATTAACATTCTCAGAAGTCAAAAATCTCTCAATTCATGAACTTTGTGGAGTAGTAGGTGATGGACTAGCTCTAAGAAAGGCTCTCTTTCCTGGCTCATTCTTCCCTGAGAAGGTAACATAACTGCAATTTCATATAAAACCTAGTGCTAGCCTAACCTTCCCTTGTCATTTCTAGTTCTTCCTGGCAAAAGAGCCATAGGAAGGAGCTACAGCAAGGTGAGACAACGAAACATTTCTGTCCTCCTTCAATAGTGGTGGGGTCCTCCTTCAATAGTGGTGGGGTCCTCCTTCAATAGTGGTGGGGCCCAGAAAAAGGCACAGAATAGAAGAGAAAATAAACCTCTGTCTCTGAGATGAGAATATCCTGGCCTCTGGGTCCTGCCTGTTTGGACCGCTAAGAGCCTGACAGCTGTTTTCACCTAGCTTGTCCCGACTCTGCTTTCTAACCTAGTTCTTGGACATTTATCACATTGCAGCTCTTCTTTAGAATCCACCCTGTTACCTGTTTGATTTATGATATCAATGAGTCTTTCCTGTGTTTAAATGCCTCATAGTGTGTTGGCTTAGAACTAGGATGAATGCTTGGTGGACTCTGCAGCATAAATACATCCCTGTTTAAGGTCGCCAGAGAATGAAGACACTTTCTGGAAATCAACCAATATTCCTTCCTTTCTTCCTCCCTCCTCTCCCTCTTCCCTTCCCTCTTCTTATTTCCTTCCCTCCTCTTTCTTTTCCTCCTTTTGCTTTCCTTTTTATCTCTTTCTTTTTTACACATAAGCCTGTCATAATAACATCCCAACTACCTTCTATGGCTCCAGTCTCTTGAGCCAATGTGGTTAGCAATATCCTGAATATTGTTGAATATCCCTACAACAGTGGCTGTGACATTTGTCAGTGTCTGCAGATGTGTTTAGTTGTCATATCCTGGATAGGGAGGGAGGGAGTTCTACCAGCATCTAATAAACACAGGCCAGCAATACAGCATCCTACAATTCACAGGGCAGCCCCCGGCAACAAAGAATCAGCCAGCCACACAAGTCAGTAATGTCGAGGTCGGGAAAACCTGCTCTCTGAGACCCCCTTCCAGGCAGCCTGAAGTACAAGTGGGCACTGTGATCCGAAGGTGCCAACATTTTTTCTGAAGGCTGCAGTCGCACTGGTAAAGCCCTGGGAAAAGACAACCCTATTAGGGAAACAACTTTCGGGTGATCTACTTAGCATTCTCTTCACCAGTGCTTTGGGATGTAGTCTTGCCAAATAATTAAACACAGAACACATCACCTTGTGAAAACACTGCTCTTGGGAGACTGTGTCCTCACAGCTTGCCCAAAGCTCCAACAGTATAGCCACAGAAGCCTCTAACAGCATTCTTGCATTTATCCAAATAACAAAGCCACACAGTATTTCTTTACCAGCAAGTACTGGGTTACCCTTGAGTCAGACATCACTGTGGGCAGACACACAGAGCTCCAGCTGTTTGTGATGGTTACCTGGGTGGACAAGCCTTTTCATGGCACTTCTTCTGTCTCCCATTGGGCTGTGTTTCTGGGTCACAGAATGTAGCTTTCACCATCCCACGGCCCTTCTTTACACAATGGGCAGTCTGGCGGCGGATACCTGGGGGTCGGACAGAAAGATTCACATGTATTAAATCCTGAGCCCACATGCTCATGGTCAGGTGAGGTGCCTGATCGTGTCAAATGATCATGTTGACAGCTGATGGAAAAGTTGTTCAAAAGTTACTTGGTTTTTAAAGGAGGGATGAAGAATGGGGATCTCTTGTAATTCACCCTCATGCTGCAGCTGGCAAGGGGAGGAGGAGAGCTTGCCTAGGAAAAACTGCAGGTCACAGAGGTAGGAGTTAAGTCTGTTTCATAGGTTTCTGTCCAGCTGTGGAGATAAGACTAACACACACGCCCCAGATGGAAAATAAAATGAGATTTAAATAATGAAAGTAGACCAGGCATGGTGGCTCGCACTGTAATCCCTGCACTTTGGGAGGTGGAGGCAGGTGGATCACTTGAGGTCAGGAGTTCAAGATCAGCCTTGCCAATATGGTGAAACCTCATCTCTACTAAAAATGCAAAAATTAGCTGGGTGTGGTGGTGGACTTCTGTCATCCCAGCTACCTGGGAGGCTGAGGCAGGAGAAATGGTTGAACCCAGGAGATGAAGATTGCGGTGAGCTGAGATTGTGCCACTGCACTCTAGCCTGGGCGACAGAGCAAGATTCTGTCTCCAAAATAATAATAATAATAATGAAAGTAAATATCATCACCAGGCATTATGAGGCAACTGCTACCTTATTAGCTTAATTAAGGAATAGAGAAGATAGATATCTCTATATTAGTTGAGGTTAGTAAACCCTGAAAAACTGAAATACAATTTAAAATAATGTTGTGAAGTTTGAGATGTTGCATTTTTTAGACACAGGGATTTGATAGCAAGGATTAATAATCCCGCTGCCTTCAGAGTCCAGGTAGTTAATGTAAGTAAGGGACTCACACAGGGTCTATAGACAAATGAAGCCTTGTCCCAGGCACTGTTCCAAACTACACATATTTATATCAGTAATGTATTTCCTGTTATCTGTGATGATGTATAATAACCCAAACCTCTCAACAACCCAATGAGATCAGCACCATCATTATCGTTATCTGACAGGTGAAGAAACTGAGGCACAGTGAAGTCACATAGGTTGAAAAAGGGGAAGGACCACTGGCTTTGCTAACTAGGACATCATTAGCAAGGGAACATAGAGGAGTGGCCAGACTGCCATGGACTGAAGTGAAGGGGCCGTGAAGAAGCGAGTCAGCAGCTCCCTTGAAAAAGCTAGTGCTTCAATGTGACATGTGAAATACTGGGTGAGAATACTAAATACTAAGACCCCTGAAAGGCAGAGCAATCTGTTTGTAAAAGGCTGACCCTGTGAGCTCTCAGGATGTCCAGACCTTGTGTGGGCTCACTGGTGTGCAGAACTCCAGAATTGGAAAGGTCCTGAGTAAGCCAATCAGCCGGTCACCTACTCACTTTACAGCCAAGGACACCCAGGGGCTTTCCCATAGTCACACAGGGAAGGACTGACCTGGAGCCTGCCATCCTACCACCCAGCACGCCCCACTGCCTGAGCATGGACTCGCTTCAGCCAAATCCCCCAATGCCAGATGGCCTCTTGTCACTTAGGAAAGGGTCACAGGGAGTTGCAAAACAGTAAGTAAATCCCTTAAAAAAGAATCAATAATTTTTTTTCAGAAAATTCTGGAATAGAGACTGGAATCATTGACACCAGAGAAGCTGACATACACCTGCCGTTGGAGAGTGGGGAAAGAAAAAAGTTTAGCTGCTTAGAAGTTTCATTAAAGCTTGGGTGGTTTGGCAAATTCTTGATGCTAAAACATTAAAAGGACGATCGGGTGACTCTAACAGGTTGGAAACATTCCCAGCAGCCTTGTATCTGTGCATGAATAGCAAAGATAAGTGTGCTTAGTGTTCCTGTCTCCTGAAGGGCACAAAACCTTACATAAAATCCCCTTCAGAAAATTGATAACATTGCACGGGTCAATCCACCGCACTAGCTGGAAGATAAATGGATAGACCAGGCAGACTTCAACAAGGGCAAAAGGAAAATGGGATAACTGAGTGTCAGAGTTTCTTCACTGACATTCATGGTTCTGGTGACCATTACTCTTCTATTGTCTCGGCAACTGCATTCTTATATATGACAACCCTGGTATATGCCAGCTACCAAGCCAAGCCCAGTCTTCCAGTGAGGGCCCCAACCCAGTAGGTAGACTACCCTGACGTTACAGGATAGTAATACCTGGCCAAGTGCTTCTTTGTCAAGTCTGAAGCTTGTGTATTTATTTGGTAAAATTTAATTTATCAATTAATGTCTTATCTGTTTCTGGTTAAATATATATAAAAAAGAAAATAAATTGAATCCAAGGGTCCTGAGTTGTAGTCCCTACTTTCCCTTCTACATATCACTGGGCCAAGTCTGTGGGAAAATGAGAACAGCAATATTCACACCGTTGGAGGGCAGGAAGCTCAGCTAGTTGATTCTGGAAGCATCTCTTACATTTTAAAAGCAATAATCCATAAAGGGAAGTCAAAATTTAATCATTGGAAAACTTGGATAATGAAAGGATCTGGTTAATATAATTTTACGGTTAACCTAAGAAATGGTTTGTTGCAACTATTGTCAGCGTGTTTCAAATGATATTAGTTCATATTGTCTTCGTGAGTGTGCATATGGCAGCTCATATTTTCCAAAGGTGGCTGCAACAATATTCTCCCACTCAGAATGCTCTTATACAACATGACCTTCTCATCCTTGGCTGAGACACACAGTCTAATTCCCCTGACCTTGAACTAAATGTAGAAGTGACGCTGTGTGACTTCAGAAGCCAGATTAGAAAAGTCTGAGCAACTTCTTTTGCAGCATCTGTCCTGCTCTTGGGACACTCCAGCTACCATAGTGGGGAAACTTAGTGCCCTTGGAAAGGCCACATGTAGGTGCTTGGGTCAACAGTCAGTCCCAGATGAACCCAGTCCCTGGATCACCCAGCTCAGGTGCCAGTCACATGAATAAAAGAGCATTCAGAAGGTTTCAGCCCCCGGGCATTTGAGTCTTTCTAGCCAGGCTGCCAAACATAGCGGAACAGAGGCACAGCATACCCAGCGTGTCCTGCCTAGATTTCTAACCCACAGGATCTGTGGTGTAATAAAGGGCTGGATGCTTTACTGCCCTAAATTTAGGATGGTTTGTTATATGCCAGGAGTAAGTGAAAGAAAACTCAATAACTGCGAGCTTTCTTTCTTCCTCAAGACGCAGAGCTGCAATCAAACTTGGTTTGCTACAGTCTAACCATGATCGATTTTACTGACTCTTCATGTTCTCTTGTCTTGGGCTCCAGTTCTTCTATTTTTCTCTCCAGCTCCACTCTGCCCCTTTCTCTTCCCTGCTGTAAACCTCAGGAAGCTGATCCTGTGGACTGCTGTGGCTTCTCGTGATTTGGGAAACGGAGGCACAATCTCTTTGTTTAACTGCTCCTTCCCTTAATTCTTTAGACCTAGGGATGGCAGCCTTATTCCTCCGACCCTCCACTATCAATGGGCAGGGGCCATCAATTATCTTCCCTAATTTCCCTAAATCCTACCCATACCTTTGAAAGTAGGCAGGTTGTCAGTTTGACTGTGCCAGCTGTTTCCTGCTGGGGTCCCTGACTGGTAACATCTCCTTTGCAGTGAAAATCCCAAACTATTCATCTTCAGTGACACACTCATTAACTCTAAAAACCAACTGCTGAAATAACAAAATCTTTCTTTGACATAGGATATTGTAATATCTCTTGTGGAGGGGGCTGGAATCAGTCACTCTAATGCAGGAAATATAACACATTCAGCTAAGTCTATGTGGCCTTGATCTTTCCCTGGAAATTAAAGAAAGAAAAATCATATTGGCTTTTTATTTGGCTTGCTATTTTTCCCTTTCTCTTCTATACTAAGTATAGTCCCCAAAGAAATTCCGGCTAACTAAGAATGCCAATCAATCAATATGCTGCCACGGCACTAAGTTAACTGTTCATCTGGAAGCACTTAACTTCAAAAGACACAAAGTAGAAATCAGTCACATTCCAGAATATATGAGAACTAAATTCAAAATGCTATTTCTAGACAATTCTGAATGCCTTTCTTTCCTCATGTAGCAACCAGAAGCTTGCCATGCAGCAGTAAACACTTCGTAAATCTCATTGAATACTAGCAGTGAAAGGTGAACTAAGTGCCTTTAGAAGAACTGTATTCCTGGGCTCTAAACAGGAGTACTCATCTTGAATGAAATTATGCCTCAATATAAGGAACAAGCAATGTCCCTATGCCTAAAAGAAAATGACATAGCTCATCATATTCTCAATTCAATACTGAGATTCTAAAATAGAGGGAGTTTGTTTTGGTTAATTTAGTGTGATTCAAAAATTCAGTTTAGACAATTGAAAGATGAAACAACTGAAGACATAGCTTATTATAATGATTTATGGCAAAAAATTAAAATATTTCTTATTATGTATAAACTTAAGATTAGACACTTAAGACAGTGAACATCTAATTACAGCATGGAAAAGTTTCAAGGTATTGTATACTCAGTCTTTAAAATACTGGTAAGATCTCTTTTTAAAAAATAACCATTTAAGTGAGAATGATACCAGTACAAGTCATATTGCACATTAGCAGATACATTATAATCTTCCCCAAATTAGACATAACATTGATTTTAATCATAAAAAATGATAACAATTCTGTGACTCAGTAGAGAGCTTGTCACAATTCCCCTAAATATGTAGCAAACATTCACTTCACAGGAAGAAGAAAAGTGTGGGAATTGTATACATCCATCTCTCTTGTCAGTGAGTCCATTCCTAGCCAACTTTCAATTTTGGTTCCCACTAAATATTTACCGTTTTTCTTTCTGGCTCTCTTGGTTTCTTCATCTGTTTTCATGCTCTCTGAGCATCTACCCTTCATAATGAAGGCTCTGTCAAGGATAGCTTCGGTCTCATGACTACAGAAGCTCAAACACATTGAGGTGTGTGTGTGTATGTGAGAGTGTGTGTGTGTGTG